CATATTTTCAATCAAAAATAAAAAGAAGTAATAAAAAGAAGAAAGAAGATAGATTAATAGATAGAAAGATAATATGATATTCACCATTTTATAAACAACAGAAATAATGAGAAATGAAAATATATGAGAAACAGAAAAAGAAGAAAAGAAAGAATTAAAGAAACAAAGATTATATTAATATACAAAATGATAAATGATAGAGAAGTAATAGAAAAGAATGAAAACATTAAAATAATAAGAATAATATCAATAATATATAATAATGATGATATAGAATAATATAAAGAACATAAAATAAAAGTAATAAATAACTCAAGATAATCAATAGAAAATATAACACAAATAATGAATAATGAATAATTGAATTAGCTAATAAAATATCACAATTTATTCAATATATAAAATAAGAAATATAGATATTATTTAACAATTCATTGTTATTATTTCTTATTCTCTTTCTTCATATATTTAATTTCTTTTTATAATCATTTATATTTCTTTATTATCATTTCTTTATTTATTCTCTCTTCTTATTCATTTTTATTGAATATTAATTTAAAATTAATTACAAAATCATTTTATAATTTATTATTTCATTTCTATATTATTTTCATTCTTCTTATTTATCATTAAATATATTTTCTTTTATATTCTTATGTTTTTCATTATCTATTATTACTATTTATTATCATTTTATTATCATTATTCATCATTATCATTTTATTCTATTGATTTAATTCAATAATAATACATCAAATGAGAATAATAATAATAATGTAAAAAGAAATAATAAGAAATTATAAAATTCGATAATAAGAAATAATAATAAAATAATTAAATGAAATATATTCATTTATAAAATACATATTTATTTTTTAATCAACATATTATGATATAAAATATAATATAAATATTAATTCTATTCATTTATTTATATTTTAATAAATAAATCAATAATTTAATATAAGAATATATTATTATTAATATACATTTATGATATATATTAAAATCAAATTTCATTAAATTTATTAAAATATGTAATTAATATATGTTTATATATTTGATTAAATACATATTCATGTTTTAATATTTGATTATTATTCATTATTTTATTTATTTATTTTGATTTATATTTTATTATTTATATTATTTATTTTATTCATGTATTTGATAGTTATATTTTAAATATATTCATATTATTTAATTATTTCATTTCTTATTAATATTATTCATATTCATATTTCATTTAATTTAACTTATAATTTATTTTTATTGATATTTATATTATATAAATACAAATAGATTAATAAAATTGATATTTATTTATCTATAATATCAAATTCATTTAATTTATATTTAATAATACAAAATCATAAGTTAAAATATAGAATATAAGAATAATCAACAATAATAAAATAATAATAAAGATATAAAAGATAATAAATAAATATGATAAAATAGAAGATATAAGAAATAATAAACATATACAATAAATAACAATAAATATTTTAAGTCAATAAAAAAGAATAATATCAAAAAGAATAAATAAGAAAAGAATAATAATAATATAAATGATAATCAATTATAATTTATTTCCACTTCAATTTATATTGTATTTCATTTATTGTATTTTTATTTCATTCACTACCATTTATCAAAACAATATTTTGGTATTCTTTTATTTTTCTTTAATTCTTCTTCACATCCACATTTATAAAAACATCCACGTCCAAATGATATAATTGATGATGGTATATTAATTGTTGTTATTGATGAACATCCATAAAAACATCCATATCCTATTTCATTAACAGATGTTGGTATATTAATTGTTTGTAATGATGAACATTCGTTGAAACACCAATCTCCTATTGTTTTAATTGTTGTTGGTATATTAATTGATTGTATTGATGAACAATATTCAAAACATCCATACCCAAATGATGTAATTGATGTTGGTATATTAATTATTGTTAATGATCCACAACAACTAAAACATTCATTTCCTATTTTACTAATTGTTGATGGAATATTAAATTTATTAATATCTTTCTTCTCTATATTCTTTCCATTGATTATTTGTAGATTTTCTGGTATTTCAAAACTTATTAATACTGGTTCATTCATAAATATTCTTTCTTCACTAACATAGTGTATCTCTGCTATATCAATTCTTGTTATTGATGAGCATTTATAAAAACATTTTTTTCCTATTGATGTAATTGATGTTGGTATATTAATTGTTTGTAATGATGAACATCCTTTAAAACATTGATCTCCTATGTATTTAACTGTTGTTGGTATATTAATTGATTGTAATGATGAACAATATTCAAAACATCCAACTCCTATTGATGTGATTGTTGTTGGTATATTAATTGTTTGTAATGATGAACATCCTGAAAAACAATAATATCCTATTTCACTAACATTTGTTGGTATATTAATTGATTGTAATGATGAACATCCATTAAAACATTGATCTCCTATTGATGTAATTGATGTTGGTATATTAATTGTTTGTAATGATGAACATCCTTTAAAACAATAATTTCCTATGTATTTAATTGATGTTGGTATATTAATTGTTGTTAATGTTGAACATCCTGAAAAACATTCTTTTCCTATTTCACTAATACTTGTAGGTATATTAATTGATTGTAATGATGAACATCCATTAAAACATTGATCTCCTATTGTTTTAATTGATGTTGGTATATTAATTGATGTTATTGATGAACATCTGTTGAAACACCAATCTCCTATTGATGTAATTGATGTTGGTATATTAATTGTTGTTATTGATGAACATCCTTCAAAACATTTATCTCCTATTTTAATAACATTTGTTGGTATATTAATTGATTGTAATGATGAACATCCATAAAAACATTCATTTCCTATTTTAATAACATTTGTTGGTATATTAATTGTTGTTAATGATCCACAACAACTAAAACATCTATATCCTATTTTACTTATTGTTGATGGAATATTAAATTTATTAATATCTTTCTTCTCTATATTCTTTCCATTGATTATTTGTAGATTTTCTGGTATTTCAATACTAACTAACACTGGTTCATTCATAAATATTCTTTCTTCACTAACATAGTGTATCTTTGCTATATCAATTCTTGTTAATGTTGAACATCCATAAAAACATCCATATCCTATTTCACTAATTGATGTTGGTATATTAATTGTTTGTAATGATGAACATTTGTTGAAACACCAATCTCCTATTTCACTAACACTTGTTGGTATATTAATTGTTTGTAATGATGAACATTCGTTGAAACACCAATCTCCTATTGTTTTAA